TGGAATTATAATTGACACAACTTGGCAGCTGATTAGCTTTGCCTCTGGAAGGAGAGCAAGGAGTAGATAATGACTCCGGGATGGAGTAGTTGGGGTGGGGTGGGGGTGTAATTAATGAGTTCTGTTTTTATACCTCTCACAAATCTTAAAGGATGTGTCCAGTGGGTACTGGGTGATGCAGGATTGAAGCTCAAAAATCCCACAAGGAAGGGATAGATTAGGGACTTGTGTAGAGATGATAATTGAACTTGTGGGATCTGATGAGAGCCGTTTAGAACAGGTGGAAAAAGAAGACAGTCTTGGGGTACTTCCACACATAGGGTTTGAGACATGGATGATTATACAGCAAAGGATAATGAGAAGGGGCTGTCCAATAGGTAGAAGTGCCAGGAGAGCAACATTTTAAAAACCTAGAGGAGTAAGAATCTAGGAGGTGATCAATGGGACCAGATGTCATGGAGAGGTCAAAAATGATGAGATCTGAGAAGATGCTATTGGATTTGGCAATTAAGAAAATATTGGTAACTTGAGAGAGCAGTTTCAGTTGAGTGATGTTAGCTGCCAAATTGCAAGAGGCTGAGAAGAAAAAGAGAAGATATATGCAAGATTGAGTAAATAGCTTTTTCTAGGAATTTACCTGTGAATAAGAGAAGAGAGGTAAGTGAGGGAATAGTGAAAGTGTAAGGATGAGGAAGAGCTAGCCGTTTTTGTAGGCAGCAAGAGAGGGATGTTGGAGAGTGAAGATTAGAGGAGGGATTGATGGTGGAGGCAATTTGCTGAATTAAGAATACAGTACAAACAGTAACAGTGGCTTTGACAAGGAGAAGGGCCCTGCCTCTTCATCAGACTGGAGTAAAGGAGATAGAATGGGGAAGAGGGATGATGTCAAGGGATTTTGAGGTGTGAGGTAGGGGGAGAGGGAGCACAAAAGAAGAAGGGCATCTGTTTTCTCAATAAAGTAGGAGGTGAGGCTCTCTGAGGGGAAGGAAAGGGAAGACTTGGGAAGAGAGGTTTTGGAGCTGCTGTAGGGAAGAGTTGAGAATAGGTCACATAAGTTTGTAGTGCTCCTAGTGATTGTGGTGTGTGGTGTCTTTTGGCACCATTCAGCAACACGTGGGTGAGTTTTTGAATGGAGAAGGGCGGGTAGTGGAAATTGTGGTGGATTGATGTTTGACAAAGCATGGAGATAGAGACAGTTGAAGTCAGTACAAAGTTGGATTGATAAGGACTGTCAAGATTGGGAGAAAAGTCAAGCCAGTAAATGCATCAGATTTGCACTGTGGCTACAACTACGAAGATCTTTACTCTCAATACATTTACATTTCAGTGGGGAAGACAGGTATATATGGAAAGAATAAATACAGAAGAAACATAAAGACAGTATAAGTGAGTTTGGGAGAGAGTGCAGTAGTAGTTGGGAGGGTCGGAAAAGGCTTCATTTAATAGATGGAGCTTGAGTTGAGTCTTAGAGAGGTATTCTGAGGTAGAGATGAAATGGGGGAATGAATTCCAGGCATGGGGAGTCACCAGGGCAAAAGCACAGACACAGGGAGATGGAGGGTCTTGGGTGAGGAACAAAGGGAAGCTGATTTATTGGATTTGCTGAGTATGAGAAGGGGAAGAATGTCTCATGAATGTGGAAAGGGGTTTACAACCAGGTGTGAAGTTTATATTTTTTATCCTAGAGGTAATAGGAAGCCACTGAAGCTTGAGTAGTTGGTGACATGAAGAGATCCTACATTTTAGGAAGATTATGTAGGATATGCCAGAATCAAGAGACCTCCAGGCAGGAAAACCAGTTAGAAGGCTGTTGTAATTTCCTGGAGGGGTGGCAAGGGCCTGGTTTAAGCTGGTAACTGTGTGAGTAGAAGAAAAGTGTGGGGGGAGCGAGGCCGGGAAGAGACACAGCACGATTTGTTGATGGATTGGATGTGGAAGGGGTGAGTGAGAATGAGCTGAGATTACAAATCTGGGAGGCTGGAGGAAGGGTGGTATCCTGGACAGAAATAAAGAAGTCTGGAAGATGAATGGATTATTAGGGAAGGATAATATGCTCAAGCAGAGCACGTGTCCAAGTAGGACACGATGAGTTTGAGATTTCTCTGGGACATCCAATTAGAAAGTAACTGAAGTTCAGGGGGGCTACTGCCTTAGTACACAAATTTTTGGGTCATTTGCCTCAGAATGACAGAGGCACAGGAGACGATGTAGCCCCACAGTTGGGTTTGGTGTGGGGGAGAGAGGAGAAGGAACACTGTACTATGAACACCTGGAGAAGATGGGGAATATCCAAGAGGAGAAGGGAATCAACAGTATCTGATGTAGTAGGTCCAGGAAGTTGAGAACTGGGAAAAAGAACATGGCAGGTGGAGTGGGAGTGGGGGAGTAAACAATAAAGAAGGAAAGACTGTCGATTTTAAGAAGCCAAGGTTAAATGAGAAACTTTGTGTTAAGAAAATACAAGAAAGAGAGCAGAAGGAAATTCAGAATGGGGCAGAGGCAGGTACGCCTGTTCTCTGCTAACTTGATCACCTCCTGTGGATTCATTGGTCATTTCCATGCAGATGCCTCCCAGATCTCTAGCCTCTCTTCTGAGCTTCAGTCCTACATCATCAGGTGTCTATTTTAAAAGTAAACTGGATGTCTCAGAGACATCTTTAGTTAAACATGTCATTTTCTCCAAAAACCACCCTACTTACAAACTTCCATGTTACTGTCAAGAGCACCATTAACCTTCCAGTCACCATTCTGATCCTTGACTCCTAATCTTCACCCCTAGATCTAGTCTGTTGCCAAATCTTGTCATTTCCGTCTGCACAGCATGCTAAGTAATTTCAAGAGGAATGTGCACTGCCAGCTTGGGGAGGGAGGCTTTGACAGACACTAGAGTCATTCATTAAGCATCCTTAGGCTACTTGTGAGGCTTTCTTGCTTCTGAGTCCCTGGACTTACATGTGAAGAAAAACTCAGTAGTTTGGGATCATACTGATATATAGGCACTCCTGTTTGGGGAACCAAAAAAGGCACTCTGTAAGATTGACAGAATGTATTTCGATTTTTTTTTCCTCCTGTAGGCAAGGACTGCGTACTGGAATATCTTAAAACTTCATCTGGTAGCTGTTTAAACTGCTTATTGCCACCATGTTTTCTTTGTGGTTTGCCAGGGCCTTTGCAGAGGGGAGGCAATTTCAATTGACATTAGGAGCCCCTTTCTCTATTCTGTCCAAGAACTAGATCATCTCTGCTTTCCTCACTCTCAGCCTCATTACACAGATCTCAAGACTTAGGGGACATGAAAAGCAGGGCTCTAACCAAAAACATTTGGGAGCTGCAGCCTTTTGGCAAAGCTCCTCATAGGCATTCTTGTGAAAAGGAAAAAAAAAAAAACTAAGCTGAAATCCTCTCTCCATGCACTAAGTTCCCATCCAGGCCATTGGTGTTAGCCACAAGCATGGTGTCAGCTATTGTCATTTGCCCTGATCTCTGTCACTGTGGGTACAGAAAGACAAAGGAGACTGTTTAAGGAGTCAGAGTGGACTGAAGGTCAAAGAAGGGCATTGGAGCACAGGTGAAATACTGCTGACTAAATGTTGCATGAGACATTAATTTAAAATACATTGGACATAAATTGGCACTGTTAGTAAACATTGGTGACGCATGAAGGAGGGTAGGATTCTTATTTTGTCTACTTAGGAATTGGGATAGACCAGACCAAAAAAAGAGCTCAAATGGTTAAATCCTGAAATAAGCAAACATTAGTGTAATTCTTTATGTGAGAAATGTATTATTTTAAAGTTGCATGTAATTAGATGAATATTTATTTGTAATTTTAAAATAGTAGATGTCTTACATAAAATGTAGTATAAAAACTCTGCCTTCTTTTGTGAAGAGAATAGCTTCTCGCCAAATCACCTGTTTTTAGTTTCAGATGTATACAGATCAGCCCTTTTAATGCACTATAAACAAGTAATTAAAGAAACATAGACTTGAAAAGCCTAAAATGCATTTAAAAAGAAGTGATGTCTTAGGAAGGCACTCTCATATTGTGCTTCATGTTGTAGTTATTTGTATCTAAGTCTGGCCTGCTCTACTCTGGACTTGTAAACTTATGCCATGTTCATCATGGTTCTCCACCTGCAGCCCAACAGTACTTGGCAAGCAGTGAGTAAGTCTGTGTTGAATGAGACTGAATGTTAACACTGATGAAAGGAGAGAGCCAGAATTTCCCATGCTCACTTGGGCTCTCTTACTCTGTTTTTAGACCCTAGATAATCTTACAAGCAAGACTAATTTTGTAATTAGCACATTTATTGTTTAGCAGTTAGTTTGCATACAGAATGGTTTTCCAGGAGCTTAACAGCAGTTTTCCTTCATTCTTAGGAAGCAGCATTTCCTGTTTTATGTAAATAGGTTGTTTTTATCAAACCTTTTATTTCATAATTAGTGTAAAAATAAGCACTCATTGATTGTCCCAAGTAGGTTTCATAATTTATACTATGCCATGAATAATACGCTCACTGTAATGTTGAGCAAGCCAGTGAGGGTCCCCAAGCCTCAGTTTTCTTCATCTGTGAAATGAAACATTTGTAATAGACAATTGCCAGTTCCCTTCCAGTGCTAAAATTCTGTGATTTGTCTCCTCATTGATGAATAATTCCTACCAGTTCAAGACCTTCCAAATTACATAAAACTTGAAGATATGTAACTACATATACTATGAATATCAAAAAAATGAAGTCTTTAAAGAGGATGGAGAATAGAATTGTGAAGATGAGCATATTTAAATGACATTTTAAATATTCTTCATCAAAAAAATCAAAACTCAGAAAGAGGTATATGATTAGAGTTATTAATGTTAGGAATGTCATTTCCTATGGTGTTTCATAATTATTATTCACTTCAAAGTTTGTTTAAAATGTTACAAGATTTTTTTTTTATCCTGTCATTTGTTATGTTGCCTCTCAGGAAATATATTCTTATGATTTTCCTCTTGTCTTTAGGGTTTTCTCATTCAGCATTTACCTTTGGTATAGAAAGCCATATCAGCCAGTCTAATATCAATGGTGCCCTGGTTCCACCTGCTGCTCTGATTTCTATCATCCAGAAAGGCCTGCAGTATGTAGAGGCAGAAGTCAGTATTAATGAGGTATGGTTGCTTTCTTAAAATAAAATGGCTTTTCTCTATATTTTGCTTGAGTACCATTCAAAAAGCGTTCCAGCGTCTGATTGATTTACTTCAGGTTCAGGGGTCTGTCCACCCATGGAAGGAAGGCTCTGTCGGCCTGGTAAGGTGGCTTGCCTTAGTGTAGGGAGGTGTAGACTCCAGCCTGATGTTTAGGGCCTTCCCCATGTGGCCTCTCCTGTGCATTGTCCACATTAGCCAAATTGGAGGCATTCTGACCCCAGAATGCCCTAGACTTTCCTGCCTCTATGTTGGGTGACCCCATTTTCTACGTCTAAAAATCTTTTCTCACTGTCTTCTTTACTTGTTGAATTTTTACCAAGTTCACTTGTTTTCTTCTCCATAAAAGCTTCCCTGATTTCCCCTCAGACATCACATAGCAATTTGTTTCATAACTTTCTCATGTACTTAGATAACTGCAGTATAAAATATCATTTGTGTTTTATGTCTTATTCTCTTAAGACTGCAAGGGTGTATGAGGGGAGAGGTGAGGATTTTAGCTAAGTGTCTAGCACAGCTCAGTCTGCACAATTGTGTTTTCCAAATATTTGTTGAATGAGTGATCCCTCTTCTTCATAATATGTTTTTGTATTTGAATAAGATGACTGATTCTCCTTCTTCTTTTTTATGTTTTTAAATTGACCGTTCATCTGAAGAGAAGTCTTTCTGGAATACTAAGATTGGCAGTCAGCTGATTTGTTAGAGAACCATGGAGTCTTAGTTAGCGTCAGTCCTTTATACTCCTGCCCATCTGTCTTAGACACAGGGTAGCTTTGCTCTGCAGGCTTTTCTGGCAAGAGCATTTCCTAAATAGGACCTGGGTGTTGTGAAATTTGATACAGCGTTGTTGGAGAGATTAGATTTAAAGTTATTACTTAGTTTTGTTTCTCCAGATGTTTTAGAATAAGGCAGCCATATTTTTTCTTATTATTGTTTCCTGCCAAGAATATTCATTCTAGTAGATAGATTAGGAGAATCTCACTAAGTAAAGAGACTTCCTGGGCTAATTAACCTTGAGAAGAGTCAAGTTATGTTATCTGTAATTTCTGTAGCTGAAAAACCCTCTAATAAGAAAGTGGTTTGCTTTTATAGTACCCAAATAGAATCAGCAAACAAACCTGGGTATCTATATATAATCACAAAGGAAATGGATGAACTCTTCAAGCTTGTAGCTTTATAAAAATTCCATTAAGCTAAAAAAAAAAATACAAGAGTTTAGGAGTCAAGAGAATAAGTAACTATCTTTTTTGACTTCACGAAAGCTTCCTAACCACTTGAAGCAATAGTTTTTCATCTGTAAAATAAGGGAATTTTACTCGATCTGGAATTCTAAACTTTTTTTGAGGACACCCCCCCCCAACCGCACACACATACACACACGTACGTACACGCACAGTTGGGAGGCTGTGGCCTCCTCCCAGAATCGTGTTTTTAAATGTTTAAGACAAAATACATAATATTGCAAAGGAAACCAAATATATTTAAATAATTATAAAGATATTAAAAAAACACATTTGCAAAACCCAGGCTAAGAACCCCCACACCAGACAGTGTACTTCTAGTATGAGATTCTCTGATTCTAGTGAATCGTCCTGAAAGATTATTTTGACCAGACTCAGCTTTTTAAAAAACATTCCAGTGTGTGTGTCTATGGCTTGTGTTTATTTTTTTTTAAGTGCTAGAGTGTTATTATCCTATGATGGTCTTGCCTATTGAAATGTCAGTATTAAGGGCAGCTGGGTGGTGCAGTGGGTTGAGCTCCGGCCTTGGAGGCAGGAGGACCTGAGTTCAAAATTGGCCTCAGACACTTGACACTTACTAGCTGTGTGACCAGGGGCGATTGTCTCACCAAAAAGAAAAAAAAAGAAATGCCAGTGTTGTATTTTTGTTGTCAGTGTTGTTTAGTCGTGTCCAACCCTTTGTGGCCCCATTTGGGATTTTCTTCGCAAAGATTCTGAAGTGGTTTGCCGTTACCTTCTCCAGTTCATTTTACAGATGAGGAAACGGAGGCAAACAGAGTTCAGTGACTTGCCTACAGTCACACAGCTAGGACGTGTCGGAGGCCAGATTGTACTTTATCCACTGAGCTGCCTCGATGTCTCTGTTTTGTTTTACTTGACACTAACCTATTTAAAATGAATTTTAAATAAAACGATACAGCGCAATGAGTGCTGTATTTGGAATTGGAAAACGACCACAGTTTGATTCCCAGATCTGCCATTTAGCTTCTGTATGTGACCTTGGTCGAGTGACTTCACCCTTCTAGGCCTTAATTTCTTCATTTTTAAGATGAAGGGATTGGCCCTGACGGCCCCTGAGATTCCTTGCAGCTCTAAATTGGTGAGATCCAGGTACTTATTTTTTTACATTGGTGCCTGAATCTTGTCTTTTAGAAATTGGCACAGAGTTCCTAGCTTCTACTTTAGCTATGTCTATACTACGCTAAAAGCACTTAGTTAAAATTAAACGATGTCAGTCAGGGTTTTTATAGAATGTGAGCTCCTTGAGGTTAGAGACTGTTTAGTTTTTGTCCTTGTATCCCTCTTATGTAGCATAGTGCCTAGCCTTTAACAAATAGTGCTGGTTGACTGTTTGCTGTCTCTCCCTTCCCTTCCTTCCTCCTTCCACTTTTCCCTTCTTGAGAACCCTAAGATGTGCTCAGTAGGACACGACCAGAGTCCTTTTGTACAGCACAGAGCAGCATCCGCATGGGGCTGCCTTTGAAATTGTTTTCAGTTTTAAAATTTATCCTTTGCTGTTTGTCGTTATTTTTCTTTCCCTTGACGTTTTAAATTTAGGATGGTACCTTGTTTGATGGACGACCTATCGAGTCTTTGTCACTGATCGATGCTGTGATGCCTGACGTGGTACAAACCAGACAGCAAGCGTACAGAGACAAACTTGCCCAGCAACAGGCTGCCGCCGCTGCCGCTGCCGCCGCCGCCACAGCCAATCAGCAGGGCTCCGCGAAAAACGGAGAGAGTACTGCAAATGGGGAAGAGAATGGAGCCCACAGCATAGCAAGTAAGCTGAGATCCAGGCGTGGTCTGACGGAGGTCCCAGGGAGCTTTAGATTGCATCCAGTGGAGAGTGAAACTCTATATGTAGGTCAGTCAGCGTAAATGTAGATAACAAAACCAATGCTTCTTTCAGTCGTTTTAAAGGTTTGGAAGTGTGCTCAGAGAGCTGTTTAATTCTGGCAGGAGATACTTTTCTAGTTACTACTTGTGTCAGCTTCTAAACTAACTGTCGTGTGACAGAGTACATTGCAGTTTGGGCAAGGGCCTTTGCTTATTACCCAGTAATTTATTATCATGCCAAAGCATCAGTTAGGGGCTATCACTTTGGCTTATTTAAAAAGAGGGAAAATGTGTCCTTCCTGCAAAATTCCTACCACCTTTTTAAAATTTCTAAGTGAGTGAGTGTGTGTGTGTGTGTGTGTGTGTGTGTGTTAGTTACACCCCCCCCCCCAAAACACCTTAGGACGCTCTAAATATAACCCAGCTGTTTCTCCCAGCACGCTATAAGAATGATATATCAGCAACCCCTACTGGCAGAAACAAAGCATGGTGTTGGCATGGATTATATTTCACTCAGGAGATGTGTGTTGGTTTGCTCAGTAATGTTGGGGTAAAGTGTCCCTGTCCTTCGACTAGTTCTGTCTAGCTTATCCAGCTCCAGTATTTGAAATTTTAAAATTGTAAAATTAACTAAAGCATTTGCTACCTTTAAATGTGACAAACATTTTTCACGGTTATTATTTGCCACTAATTATCGATATATCCTGAAAAAACAGATTGAAAAACCCCAACAACCTGTGTTTATATTTTAGATGAGTAACATTATACCCTTTTATTTGTATTTAATTCTGTTCAACCCAACAACTATTTATTAAGTACCTGTTGTGTGTGAGGCACTGGAAATATAATGACAAAGGAAAAAATAATCCCATTTTATCATCAAGGATACTTGTTATACTTAATATTTATTTTATGAAAAAAGTAGCAAATATCACAGATATCCCTAACTTCTACTCTTTAAGAGCAACAGGTTCTAGTTGCATAGTACATATTGTTAATTTATAGGTCAAAACACTTTTATTCATGATTTTACAACTTCTTTATAGACATTTTTCTCTTACTAATTCCCTTACAGATAACCATACAGATATGATGGAGGTGGATGGAGATGTTGAAATCCCCCCAAACAAAGCTGTGGTATTACGAGGTCATGAGTCAGAAGTATTCATCTGCGCCTGGAATCCTGTTAGTGACCTTCTAGCCTCAGGGTATGTCTCATAGTGAAGCAAAGCTATGATTCAGTCTTAAGAATTTTATAAGTCTGTGACTTCGACCCAAAGTGTTGTTTGGGGAAATATTTCCCTGGGATTTTTGGAATCCTGAAGGTTGTCATGTTAGGCAGCACTGAGGCTCTTCTGGAAGGAAATGTTTACTATTCATTCTTCCTCTGGTCCTTACTAGTTAGTAAATGCTGCACTGTGACTTGATGAGGATGGTAAACCCTTTTTCTTGATCTCTAGATCTGGTGACTCAACAGCAAGAATATGGAATCTGAGTGAGAACAGCACAAGTGGCTCGACCCAGTTAGTCCTCCGCCATTGTATAAGGGAAGGTGGGCAGGACGTGCCCAGCAACAAAGATGTGACCTCCCTCGACTGGAATGTAAGTGCACATGCACACCCGCACATCTGCGCAGACAAGCTAGAAGGGCTTCCTGAAATTACCCCAATTTGCTAACCACACATTATTTGGCTAATTTCTTGGTAAAATGAAAGGTCATATGGACTGAGTGAATTTGGGAGATCCAGCTTCAACATTTTTTGACCATCCTTGTCAGGATCAGAGTTACCTTCTTTATGCTAAGAAGTCTATGCTATATCAAGTTAGAACAGCAAGAGGGTGAAGTTTTCATGGGAAAATAAAAACTTCCTCATTTTTAAACTGTTGATTCCTGGCTAGGTTATGTTGAAAACTGGAGTAATTTAAAGTCTGTAGCATACAGATTTTCACACATGGCCCACTGCTGTGTTTGTCTTTATTTTTGTGTCAACTCCAACAGGCTGCACATCCCCAACAGGCTTCCTCAGAAGACTATGTTATCCTTGGGGGGAGGGGGCTGGGGGGGGAGAATGGAGTTCCCTAGACTCAGATTACGACAGTTGTCTGAATATTCAGGCTACCGTTTCTTCAGCATGTGACCATCTAGACTTTTCCCGAACTCTTGACTTTTTGCAGCATCTTCCTAAGCTCATTCCAGGGCTGGGCAGCACATTGACTTCTGCTTTAAAACAGATTCCCTAGGACCTAGAGAGAGAGAGTGCAGCCTTTGAGAACTTTCAGGACATGATATTGAAGCATTTCACTAGGCAGTCCACCAGCTGTTCAAAAATGGAAGAACTGAGAAATGCAAACTGAGGTGGGGGCCTAGTGTCATAAAGCATATCTTTGGCTGTATATTTAGATCCACCTCGAAAAGGACAGATATCTTGTCAAATCAATAGGGGCTTTACCCTGGCCAAAGTTTTACAAGTTCTGAGCTTGAACTCTTTTTTACTGGCAGCACCTTGAGCAGGTCACTTAATGGGCCTGACTTCCAGTTTTCCCCTTTATAAAATCAGTGTTTGCATTAGATAACCTCTGAAAGCCCTTCCAGCTTTGGATTTGCTTTCCTGTAAATATCGATATAGTGGTTTCTAGACACAAACAAATGTTTTTCTTGACCACATAGGAAGGAAGAGCCCAGGGTCCTTGGACCAGACTTCAGAGCTAGGTGGCGATCTCTTGAGTTCTAAAATGCCCTCATTACTTTCTGGGAGTTTTGAGAAGGCCCACTGAAAGATGTCTTTTATATTCCTTCTCCCTTCCCAAGGTTATTCAATGGAGGCCCAGGATACAACATGGCTTCAGAGTTTCACCTCACATGTCAGGCTGGTTCTCCTCTTCCAGGGCTGCACCTGTGAGGGCAGAGTTAAGGTCTCTGATCCTAGAAGAGATTTCACCTGCTGTTCTCCCACTCTAGTGATAAAATCAGCTGCTAGCTTTTCCTGTTCTTTTTTTCTCCATGTTTTTATTCTTTCTGATTTAGATGGCAGTGGGAAAGAACTAATAAAGAAAAGGGTTTGTTGTTTCTCTTCTTCTTGAGGTGTTTTCATCTTAATTAGTTTTCTTTCAGCAGTAATGGAATTAGAAGTTTTCATTTTCTTCCTCTACTGTATCCGGAATTGTTCACATCAGAAGTTTTGTCTTTTTGCCATTATGTACTTGTGTGTTTTAAAAAAGTTTCATGTTTGTATGTATGTGGCAGGAGGTGAGGACCCCCAGAACCAGTGTATCTGTGGGATGCCTCCATGGACAAAGCCTAGAGGCTTTGACTCCCAGAACTTGAATAAGAAAATAAAAAGAAAATACGGATATCTTATAAAACATTTGATTCTCTTGGCATGTAAGCATAGTCTCTTTAAAAAATGTGCATACTAATTTGGGATTCTGTCAATGAAAAAAAAATCCTATTTTTCTAACAGAGTGAAGGCACACTTCTCGCCACTGGGTCATATGATGGATTTGCCAGAATATGGACTAAAGATGGTAAAACAAACAAACAAACAAAAAAGTTATATTTTCTGTTCATTTTTCCTGTTGTGCATTACACGCTTCCAAATAGTTAAAATGTTTCTGTCTGCTTAAACATCAGGTAATCTTGCTAGCACCTTGGGGCAACATAAAGGTCCTATTTTCGCATTAAAATGGAACAAGAAAGGAAATTTCATCCTGAGTGCAGGAGTGGACAAGGTAAGAGAAAATTAAATTAAATTCTGCAAAGGTTAATATCTATAAAATGTTAGTGAAAGTTTATTTTTTTTCCCCATCCTACCAATGGCGTTGCAAATAATAGATGGTTAGAGCACAAAATATTTTTTATTTGTGAAGAACAAGTATTTTATGCAGCCTTTATAGCATAGGTGGAGATATTTTTAATTGTCCATAGACCCATCCCCAGAAATGCTTTTACACAGATCACCCTTCAACTTTCATTTTTGTGGCCACATTTTACTCTGGCTGCAATGTGAGCAGGAGTGGGTGGGCGGGTCACACTTCTCTCTTACAGTGAATATATCTGTGGGATGACCCCATGGACAAAAACCTAGAGGCACCCTGAGTGCTTGCTATGAAGGCTCTTGGGGGTCGTGGAGGTCGTGCCTCTCAGCTGTTTGCCAGTGCCATGGCTAAAAATAACTAAGCCCTTTTCTGATGCTATAGTAGATTCAATGTATTCTAACTTCAGCAAGGCCAATTAATCTGGAATGGTTTCAGCCTATAATTAACTTTCTTCTTATCCCCCTAATTTCCTCTTACCCCTCCCCCACATGTGGAAGAGGTAGAATTTCTCTGTGGAAGGAGACGGCTAGGTCCTTTAAATCTGGAGTTAACAGGAAGGGGTGGGGGAGGGGTGCTCTTTCCATCTAATAGGCATTTGTTACACAGCTCCTTTGTGGTAGCCACTGACCTAGGCACAAAAATGGTCATCTCCTGGGGAAGAGGATTCAACAAGAATAGTCCCCCTCAGTATGACCTTAGTGAGTGGAAGTGGTGATTCGCTGCTCTGGGCACCATGCTGGGTGAGAAATGAAGGAAAAGTAGCATGTGGTACAGAAGGGCTGGGAAGATTAGGTGACACAGGTCTCCACAGGCCACTTAGCTCCTCCTTAAAAACAGGTTTCGAGAAATGCTGGCCTAGCCAGGGTCTTCCTTATCATGGGTTATTTTTTTGTTTTGATCACTTTTTTTCCCCCCAAAGTTTTGTTTTTGTTTGAAGCAATGACATGAAAGTAAGAGGAAGGGTGCCACAGTAAACAGAGCTCTTTTTGGAGTTAGACCTAGATTCAAGTCCCCCTTCTGATATACTCTGACTGTGTGACCCTGGGCTCATGTTACTTTATTTCTTCGTTACCTCAGCAACTCTGAGACTTGGACCTTCTAAAGGTATCATCTGATTTGCATTGGTAGAAAGAATTCTCTTACCTCACAGTTCAGTGTGCAAAGGAAAAAAAACAAAACAGTCCAGATACAAGCTCATAGGAAAACACTTGTCTTATATCCTTATTTTTATGCTTATATTTTAATCTGGAATGAAAGGATATTTTCATAAGTATCTCAGTGTTTGTACTTCTATTTTTAAAGAGTGATTTGTTTTATCTTATATCTTTCACTGAATAGCAATAGAAACTAGATTGAGTTTTGAGTTGTTAGGTTTAAGTTGAGGCTGACCTGATTTAAAATTCTTCCTCTGCCACTAAGTAGGTGTGAGGCCTTGGGCAAGTCACTTTCACTGCGTATTCTTCCATTTCTCTTTTTTACAAATGGGGAAATAATACCTGCTTTGTTTGTTGATTGAGTCATGAGAGATCATTTGTGTCTACAGAGTACTTGGTAACTGGAAAGCACATTGACTATGTGTCATGCACCAGCTAGTCCGCTTTTCCTTCCATCCGTCCTTCTATGGGTCACAGTTCTTTACATGTGCCTTATTTTCCCTACCAGATTCTCAGTTCCTCCTTCCGTCTCCCTCAGCACCTGGGACAGCACTTTGGAAAGAAAGCCTTAGTGTTTGCCCAGTGCGTGTTTGGCACAGGTCCCTAATGACTCAAAGTAGTCTGTGTTGGTCTAGCCCCACTGTAAGTGTGTCCATTTTGAAATGTCATTACTGACTACTCAGAAATAGGTTCTCCAAGAACTGAGAACAGGGCAATAAGGGGGCAGTTACCTGAGGTCTCTGCAGATCGTCTGGTTGACACCTCAGGCTGCCAGCTGAATAGTAGTAGAGTGAAGGGTTTTGCTTTTTTTTAGTGCTGTTCTGTGAGTGAATTCAGATGTTGAGGATGTATATTAGAAAAAAAAAATTTTTCCTCATTTATGCAGGTCAGCCTTTTGTAATAATCATTCAGCAAGTGTTTATTAAGTACAAACTGTGCACAGAATATCACTTATCACTAGAAGGGCTCAAGCATTTATTAAGGGCCTTTGGACCAAGCATTAGGCATGCAGAGACCAACATGAAACAGTTCCTGCCTGCCTCTGACAGACCAGTGTTCTGTTGGGAGGGTGAATGGGAAGCAGCATCTATGTAAGTAAATAGGGAGATACAGAAGGTCTCCTTTGGAAAAGGAAAAGCTCCACGTAGCTGTGTCTTAGAGTAGAGTGTTGAAAGTAACAGAGCGTAATGTGATTTATAGTCTAGCAAGGGATGTATATTGAGAATAATACAGACGTTCAGAAGAGATAGAAGCAAAGTACAATGGGAGGTCCCAGCAGAGGGGAAAGGCAAAGGTCTAGGCAGAGTTAAATCTGGAAGGTTTCCTAGAGAAGATGTGATTTTTTTCAGCAGTTCTTAGTTTTTGAAAATAGATGCACATCTCAATTCCTTTGGGGAGAAAGCTTGGTGGTAGGGATGAGTAGTCAGAGATGGTAAAGGGCCTGCTGCTGGAGGCACACAGGTCAGAATATTGCACTCTCGAAAACCTCTGTGGTCATGACCATTGATGCTCTGAGAGAATCTGAATCTTACAAATACGTAGGAAAAAAAAAAACAGTGCCCAAATATTAGACTTTTTTCCAGAAGTGCTTAGAATAATCACACTCTTTACATAGGTTAAAAGTTTAAAAAATAGAATTTGTAGTTGTTATTTTATATCACTTGAGTAAAATTTGGTGTGTATTGTAGAGGGGGCATAAATAATGTAATTTTTCACTTTCCAATTTTATAACTCCCATTATTTATTTTCTTTTGAAAATAAACAATATAGACCACAATTATCTGGGATGCACATACTGGTGAAGCCAAGCAGCAGTTCCCCTTTCATTCAGGTAAAATTTCCTTTGCAATTCACGTGGACCTTTTTGTCCTCTTTTTTTTTTTAAATTCTCTGTCAACATGAAGAGTCTGTCATTTTAGAATCTCAAACCTAGAATTTCAGAGGGTTATTCCTTCCTTGCTACGTGAAATACTTATAGAAAATGATACCAGAAGAATTTTTATAATGTAAATAATTTAAAGATAATGTATGTAATAATATAGATCATAATAAAGAGTTAGCAATGACCACATTACTCCTGCATTTTAAAGAAAAATATCGTTTATGATTCTCACTCATTACAACTGTGTCTTCATGTCTCTTATTGGGAACAGAGACTTTTGTCCAGGAGAAACAACCTGAACTTTTCCCATTAAATATGTTCCTGAATAGCATTGTGTATGGTTTAAAAAAGTCTGTCTATCTATCTATCTGTTAACATTATAAGTATATTTGGTACTCAACGCATAATGCCCACACATTTAGAAATCATGACATTGTGCCTTTCTTAGTGTGACTCACTCTCACTATCTCAGAGTATATCAGTCAAATGGACGGTCCGTTTATGTGATCTTGCTTGGATGTTTAGTATGTGAAACACAGTTCATAGCCATTTTGTTGGAATTCTCACCAATTCTAGGGTACTTAAGTAGTCCCATTATTTATTATTCCATTGCTCTGAGCACAGAGACGTGGGAAACATAGAAAATGTGGCTGGTTGTTTTGTTTTCCCCCCGATAGAAGTCAGGTTATACGAATACCCACTAATAATCAAGGTGTGCTGTGAGTCCTTAGCTCTGCTGTCATTATAAATGTTGGTTGATCCCAATGACAGATGATAGAAAATCTTGCCCAGTAGCTCAGGAGAAGAACATGCGTCTTTGAAAATTTTGTTCCATGCCAGTGACAATTTAAAATGAGATCCTGACAACCCCAGGCCCAGTTCTCTATCTTTTACAAAATTCCATTGAGGGCATCTTTCTGTCTCCAGGCCTAAAGCCTCACAGCTTCTTTTTCAAAACCTGTAACCTTAGGCCCTGAGCCGCTTGTGTGGCATTGTCAGCGTGATGTAGCTGGTGTGCTACAGTGCCCCCATTTTTAGGGAATACATACTGTGTACTGATGAGTAGAGTACAAGTTACGAGTAAAGTTTTCCGTTCAGTTTAACACAATACGGTGTGTTGGATGGGGTCGAAGAAGAGTAAACGAGGCCACACCTGGTAATATGGAGTCCTGAGTTTCAATCCTGTGGCATATGTTGACTGACTCTGTGAACTGTAGGCAAGTCATTCCATGTCTCAGCTTCAGTTTTCTCATTAGTAAAATGAGAATAATTATGCCGTATCCCTCACATGAAATGATGGTTGTAAATCACTTTGCAAGCCATTAAATGATAAAGAAATGTGAGTCATTGATATTATTACTACTGTTACTGCTACAGTGACCAGTACCAGCATCATCACCACAACCGCTGCTACTACTGTGACCATTACTGCTGCTATCACCACCACCACTGTTACTACCACCATTATCATAGCACCACCACCCTCTACCTCTGTGTCACTTCCTAGTTCTTCTTTTGGCACTCCCTCCCCCACTATTGCTCTACACAGAATAAACCAGGACTTTTTCTGTAGTTCTTCCCCATTTTGCCCTGTGAGCACATGCCCTGGTCATGTCTCCCATTTAGAAAGATCTGCTGTCATGTCATGGGGAATGCTCATCTTCCTCGAGTCAGTCACAGTCATCATTGGTAGATGCCTAACACAATCCACCTCTCTGACTACCTTCATCACGGCTTTTTCTCATATTTCTGCATAGGGAAAACTATCTTTTGTTTAGACTAATTAAGGTATTGACTCTATCACGTGCCATCTGTACTGTATAGATGATAAGCATAGGCAGAATGGAGGTAATTTTTCAGTGCAAGCAGTTGGATACCTTGAAACATCTCCTTTTCTGAACACCTTAAAAATTATAAAATAAATTATGAAGAGTTTCCTTTGTTGTGTTTTTATTCTCTTTTTTTGTTTTTAAGAACTATACGTATGCAATAACACTTTGTCCCTCTTCTTCCCAGCGCCGGCACTGGACGTGGACTGGCAGAGCAACAACACTTTTGCCTCCTGCAGCACCGACATGTGCATCCATGTCTGCAAATTAGGACAAGATAGGCCGATTAAAACATTCCAGGGACACACAGTAAGAAAAACCCTTTGTTTGTCTTCCTGGGATTTGGACTGGATGTTTTAGATGTGTGGTTATCACTGAAATTACACTGCACTTTGTTTTCATGCATATGATACAAAACTAAGTATGAATGGTTATTTTTAGAATGAAGTAAATGCTATCAAATGGGACCCAACTGGTAACCTTCTGGCCTCCTGTTCTGATGACATGACTTTAAAGGTAATTTAAATGTAGGCTTTTATTTTGATTTGTTTCTCTGGGTGTGGGTGGAGGTGGGGAGGGACAGCCACCGAGATTATTCGAGAATTTCTGATGTGGTATCTGCAAGCCTAGCTGTGTAGGGCCCACTTTCCTCGTAGATAGTTTAGCCTTTTGTGTTTGATCTTTTTCGCATTTCTCTTTATAAAGTATATTATATGTAAAGGTTATTGGTTGCAGTCAGCCTTCTAGGCTCCTGGTCTCCTTGGAAGTCGCTTCACTTTGTGGCTTCAGCTTTTCAAGCACATGAGGGTATGCCAAACGATGACTTTGATTATAGGACAGTTGGAGATTTTCTTTGCACTAATACAGAAGTTGATCTGCATGGTTAGTATTTTTGACCTCTGAGTGTTATATCTAACACGCAAATATTGTCAAAATATTTTTGAGCAGGTTTTATTTAATATATAGGCTGAGATAAAAGCTGCATTGGTAAAGCTTTACCAGTACTTAGCGATCTTTGTATTCTCTTACCACTTTCTATAAGTCACTCTTAGCCATACAGAAACTCATCTTTTAAGGAAGAGCATTTTCTCCAAGTTGTAGATTTGCTGAGCTGTGGATGACACCAGCATTCTTCTTGTCTGACTGGCACTCAGACTGGTTAAATCACCTGACTGACATCTTCAGAGCATCCTCCTCCTGACGCAAACAGGGCTTTCTTGTGTTACCTTCACCATTAGTCATCACCATAGAAACTGAGCTCTTGGCCCAGCCTTCTCTGCCGTGAGCTGAGAAGTACGTGGAAAGACAGGAAGGGAGCCTTGTTTGGTGCCTGCCCGTGATTGTTGGCCTGAATTTGCAGTGAAGAAATGAAATCTATCAAATTGTGCTTGAGTACCTTCCAGGTGAAGACTCCTGGGCTCTTATGCAGAGGAAATAGAAATATACCACATTCAACAGACAGTCGAGTTAAAAGGCTTTCAGCCCCTGGCTGGTGTGAGGCAGGAGGGCTGTTACCTTTCATTTGGCCCCTTTTGTCTCAGCTCCTCCCTCCATCCCAGCACCTGGTTGGACACAGGAGGACCTCTTCTGCTCTCTGGGTACCAGCCAGCTAGAAAGCTGGAAGACTTCAGCCAACTCCCAGGCCCAGAGATTCAGTTATTTTTCATCTGGGCTCACTCACAACTTTGAATCAGCTGAGTATTTAACTGTGGCCCTTATAGCCTGCACTCAGCCATTTGGCTGCCTGTAGGGCCTTAGGCGGGTTTTTCACCTGGGCCTCAGTTCTGTCATCTGTCAAATGTGAGGGTGTTGCTCTAGGTCACCTTTCAACTCCATCCCTTCTCTAACAGTCTGGTATTGAAAGAGGATTCATCTTTTTTCTTCTTTTAGATATGGAGTATGAAACAAGAGAGTTGTGTCCATGATTTGCAAGCACATAATAAAGAAATTTATACTATCAAATGGAGTCCAACAGGACCAGGAACAAACAATCCAAATGCCAACCTCATGCTAGCCAGGTAATATTTCATGAACTGCAAAACGGTGCATTTTTTGGTGGTTGTTGTTTTTTCAAAATGTGATTCCTTCATAGAAATTTCCTGAATTCAGCATTCTCTGCCTGCAGAGACAGCGCACCAGCTTGGATTTCAAGACAAGAAGAGCTGGCTGGTTATCCAGGCGCTCTCCTTCCTTCCTCAATTTCTTTGTAAAATGAGGATGTTAGCCCAGGTGTTCTCTAAGATCTATACACTAGCTCTAACTTCTATAATAAGGAGATGGAAAATTAGAGAAAGACCTCAACACTTTATCTGCCTCACCATGCAGGAAAACTCTGAGAGTTGTTTAATTTTCAAAATGTATTTTAAGAAAGTCTCCTTATTAAACCAAGGGATACTGTTTTATTTCTCAAGCTGTATAGAATAATTATGAAAATATAGACATCATAGTCCTCCTTGAAAGCACATTTTTTTCAACAACATCAGCATTTACTGAATTCAGTGTTCTAATTTGTGAATGACTTACTTCAGTTTGAATGATTCCTTGGGATCATTCTCTGGGATTTTAAGGGACCAGAATTGTTGTTATTTGTAATCCCAGCCCCAGCCTCTGTGGAGACCAGAGCCCCACAGGCTCACTTGGCTCCCAGCACTCAGGGGAGCCCAGAGCACTCAGGGGCCATGTGCTTTCTCTGTTTTGTTGTTTGTTTTCTCCAGGAAGCCTCTTAGTTGTTCCCTTAAGTCCTGAAGTAGGCCACTCACTCCTGGAGTGAGCTGCGAGAAGCCCATTTATCTCCGTTTGTCACTAGGGCACATGTTTCCTGGACCTGGGAGGAGTAGAGAGAAATACCATTTTACCTTTATGGTAAAACCTTCTTTCTCTCTCTTCTTTTCTCACCCTGACAGTGCATCCTTTGATTCTACTGTTCGGTTATGGGATGTGGACCGGGGCATCTGCATCCACACTTTGACAAAACACCAAGAGCCTGTCTACAGTGTGGCTTTCAGTCCTGATGGCAGGTACCTGGCGAGCGGCTCCTTTGACAAATGTGTGCACATCTGGAACACTCAGGTACGCTCTCAGATCATGGCTCTGGATTTAAATGCCCCAATTACGCTAAAATTGAACATAACTTTGGGATTAGCCCACGAGAACAGTAGTTAGAACTCAAATTCTGCTTTCAAATAACAGATGAGACAGCAGCTAGTCGTAGAGCAAAGACATCTTGCCACTGTGCCTCTTGGTGGTTATGTGGGCTTTGGCTGTTGCTGGTGACTTTTCCCTTTTAATAACTGAAGACATTGGGCACTGTGCAAAAGTTTGCTAACAACTTGGTATTAATACAGGATTAAAAGTCTCAGTTAGACCCATGCTACTTTAGAGCCCATCATTTATGAGTCTTTTCCTTCCTTCTGGGACCCATTTTTCCAGTCTGTTTTTGAGTATGAATGATTGTATCAGGGGAAACATGTTGTCCTCTAAAAAATTATAAACTCCTTAAGGGCAGGGAGTGCTTTGTGTTTATCTTTTCATCCCCAGGATTGGCGTGTAATAAATGTCCATAAATGTGCTGGTGGAGTTGGAGTCAGGAAGACCAGGATTTAAATTTCTTCTTCTTTTTGTTTTTGTTTTTGTTTTTATTTTGGTTAGGCAATGGGGTTAAGTGACTTGCCCAGGGTCACACAGCTAGTAAGTGTTATTGTGTGTCTGAGGCCAGATTTGAACTCAGGTCCTCCTGAATCCAGGGCCGGTGCTCTATCTATCCACTGCGCCACCTAGCTGCCCCTCAGGATTTAAATTTGATGTTTGACACTTGGTAATTGTGGGACCCTACAGCAGGTGGCCACCTCCTCAGTACTTAATCTACTAAGTGAGAGGTTTCCATCTGCTTTAATGAAGGAAGTTCCCACAGTGGGGGTTCTCTGTGCTAAAGAAATTCTAGGTCATTTCCCTATTTATTCCTGATGAATATCCTTGGCATTCAACCTGATCTAGTTGATTCCCCCTTTTAAATCTTCCAGTGACTGACTTCATTATGGTTAAATCAGGCTTAATGAGCTGTCATGTGTCTTACCGTAAAATGAAGAACCATCTGGACTAACAGAACTGTATAAGTGCTGTTGAGCCAGTACTCAGATGATTGGATGGGTCCCACACAATTTATCAATAGGACTCATTGACAGCTGCTACATCCTCCCCATCATTGTTGTGAGGGGAAAATGTGTTATCAGCTTCTAACCACTACTGAAATGGGAGTAGTTGTTACTAAAAACAGTCCACCATCACTTTTTAATAAGATCACATTTGGAGATAAAAGTGTAGGTCATTGTACAGTTTGTATTTGACATACAGCTAATTGTTTGCTCTCCTTGCACATTTAATGTGACTTCCCCCCAATTTCATCAATCATTTACTAATATAAACTGGATCCATGGCACCAGTGGATTTTCGGTTGAAGTCTGTTGCCCTAGGGGATAGTTTTGACGTGATCATGCCATGCATGGGTATAGTGTTTACATTACTCTCTAATAGGCTTGGAGTTTGATTTTCAAAGAGTGACTTCCTGTCAGTTTTTAGCCATTTTGGAGTGTTCGCTTTCCTACATCTCCTGAGGTTAGAATTTGAGACTATCATTCTTTCCTTTTACCTATCACTATCCACATACATATACAGTCAGAAATTTGTATGTTTTCACAGGAAACCACTATCCCTCAGAATTTATTAACAACCTCCTAAATATGCAGATACAAAAGTGAGATAGGACCTGCCCTCGAGGAACTTTCATCCTGCCTAGCAGAGATAGTCTTTATTTGCTTGTCTTTTGGTTTTTTTCAATTGCAAATTCTCTCTCTAACCCATCTCCTGCCCACAAACAAGAAATTGCTTTTTCCCCCTTCCAAAATGAGTGATATGGAAATAGCATTGCATGATTTCATATGTATAATAGATATTGTATTTCTTGCCTTCTCAGTGGGTAGGGTAGGGGGTAAAAGGAGAAAGAGAATTTGGAACTCAAAATAAACTTTTTTTTTTAAAAGAGAGAAGGCAATCTCAATAAAGGGGGGAGGAGAAAGAGAATTTGAAACTCAGAATTTGAAAAAAGAATGTTAGAATTGTTTTTATATGTAACTGGGAAAAAGAAATAAAATATTAAATCAGAAAAGAGAGAGAGAAGGCAAGAAATATGATAGAGAGTAGATACTCTTAATCTGGAGTCCCTTGGAGTCTGGGGATAGATTTTAGGGGCTCTGGGGTGGGGCGGGGAGTAGTGTTGTTTGTCCTTCATTTTTTGAGAATGACGAGTGACGTCACAGGTGAGATCTTGCTTGACTTGCGCGTGAGTTGGATTTAAGTGAGGTGGAGCTGCACAAAGTCATCAGCCTCGTTCTGTCTTCCTGAGTCATCAAAGTCCAGTGTCAGGACAGAAGTCAAGAGATTGGTGATGGCCCGGGATGCAGTGGGTGATCTCGGCATCTTGGATGTCTGATGAGCCTCTGCGTGCTCCACAGCATCTACTTCAGCCGCCTTCACGGGTAGTAGATCAAATTGTCCCCATCTTCTCATTTTGCTGGGGAAAGTTTTCACATGCTAGTGTAGTCATCCCCCTAACTCACTGACAGATTTGAGGTCTGTTAGTTATCCTCAACCTTGTTTAGCCCATCTACTGAGATGGTTTACCGAGATGTGGCTGGTGCACACGGTTCAGCTTCTTGAAGCCACAGATGAGAGTTAGGTGAAGGTAGACACCAAAGGTGGGTGAGCCCTAACGTGGGCCCCACAAGCCCTCACACCAGAGGTGCTAGTCCTCTCTGAAGACCTCATACACCCTGGCAGGGAGGAGGGACTATAAGATATGAAAGGACTGGAAGTGGGGGAACAGGTGATAAAGGACTTTGAATGCCAAAGAATTTTATATTTGCTGCTGGCCGGTGGAGTTTATTGAGTATGGGGATTACATGGTCAGACCTAGACTTTGTTAGCTGAATGGAGGGTGGAAAGAGAGAAAGGGACGTATTCCAGAGAAGTCATAGACTTGACCAGATATGGGGGGTGGTGTTTGAGGGATAGAGAGGGGTTGAGGATGACACCTAGGTTCTGAGTTTGGGGACTGGAACAATGGTGGTACCCTTGACAGTAATGGAGAAGTTAGAGAGAGGGGGAGGATAATGAATTCAGTTCTAAACATGTTGAGTTGAAAATAGCTACAGGACAGCCATTTCAAGATGTGTAAAAAGTGACTGGCGATGTGAGTCTGGAGGTCAGCAGAGAGATGAGGGCTGGATTAAGTAGACTTGAGAATAATCAAGTTAGAGATAATAATTGAATTCATAGGAGCTAATGGGATCAAATGAATATAGAAAGAGAACCAAAGGGGTCCCAGGATAGTGCTCTGTTGGACACCCATGGTCAGGCGCGACCTGGATGAAAAATCCAGCAAGGGGGCTGAGAAGGAGCTGTGTAGTAACAGCTAACATGTAGCACACAACTGTTCCAAGTGCTTTACAGATATTTATCTCCTTTGATCTTCACAACAACTCTGGAGGTAGATGCTGTTATTATCCTCGTTTTCAGATAAGGAAACCGAGGCAATAGGGGTTAAGTAACAGAGTCACACTGTCTGTAAATGTTTGAGCCCCATTTTGAACTTGGGTCTTCCTGACACGAGGCAGGACAGTCTGTCCACTGTGGTGCTGCCTATGCAGGAGTAGAACCTGGTGAGACTGTGTCAGGAAAACTTAGAAGTGTACCGGATGATCCACAGTGTTATAAGGCTTCAGAGAGACGAGGAAGGATGAGTGTTAAGAAAAGGCTGTTGGCAATTAAGAGGTCATTGGTCAGTTTGGAGAGAGCAGTTTTCGTGGAATGATGAAGTGGAAATGTAAACCATAGAGAATTAAGAAGAGAGAAGGGAGAGAGGAAGGAGAGGCTCCTGTTGTAGATAGCCTTGTTTAGGAGGTTGGTCACAAAAGGGAGGAAAAATGGGGGGTGAAAGAAATCAAGTGAGGAGTTTTAGAGGAAGGGGGAGCCGTGGGCATATTTCTGCTCCATATGGAAGCAGCCAGTAGACAAGGGAGATTAAAGATTAATGAGAAAATGGGGATGAGAGAGGGGGCAGTCTTTTGGAGAAGAAAGGCTGGAAGTGGGATCACTTGTGTATGTAGAGGAGTGGCGGTTCAGAAGATGGGTGAGATAGTGAGCCATTTTTGGAAACTTAAAAGGATTTGTCTTGCAGCAGTGAAAGCCCATTTCAGGTTATGTAACATAAGTTTGTAGTGGCCCCAGTAAGCATGGATGCTTGATTTTCTCCTCACAATTGAGAATTGTTGAGTTTCCAGGCAATAGAGAGGAGGAAAATTGTTCAGTCCTGGCAACTGCCTTGCTAGCAGGAGTAGGACTGTCATTCCAATGGAAATTATTGGAGCTGGGTGTTGGAAAATGAGAATGGGGAGGGAAAAATTGGGGAGCTCCTTTCTGGGTGTGCTCTCGGGGGAGGTGGGGCAAGTAGCAAAGCCCCCTTGGCAGCCCTGATATTGGCACTGGCAGACCTAGACCTTCCTTCGATGCCCCGTGAAGCAGTCAGATACGAATTTCCAGGGCCTGATGCCAGAAGAACATTGCTCCTGCTTTCTGAGCAGGGCTCCTAATCCTTCAGAAGGTGGTTTTGTGGCTAGCACCATCGGAAATACCACATTCCATCTCTGGCCACGCAGCCTGCTAGTCAGGAAGTCATCAGTGATAGATGATACTTCTGCGGCAATCAGTTTGAATTTACCTTAGCATTATTTGATGTTTGCAGAGGGAAATTTGCAATACGCTTCACAGGATCACAGATTTAAAGCTAAAAAAGACCTTATGGGTCATTGTGTTTGTCTCAGGATTCAGACTCACGTCTTCTTGATTCCAAGTCCAGCGCTCTGTCTCCTCCTCCACCGGTCTGTGGCTTCTTCCTTCCCCCTGTGCCCCCCATTGATACCAGCACATGGGAAGTTTTCTTTAGGGGAGGGTAGCATAGGAAGCATCCCTGGAATGGGCACGAGCCTTTTATTTTCATCTCTATCAGACCTAGCCTTTCTAAATGTTCACTTTAAAATAAATGGGATCCTCCCCGGAATTTTTCTCTGTGATGCTTAGTGTTCTGGATTGTCTTTTTATTGTTTCACTCCAAGCTTCTCGGGGATAATGACCATGCCTTATTTCCTTTTAGCTTCCTTGGTAATTACCCTAGCAGAGGGAGTACCGGGGAGATGTGGTGAAGTAACTCATTGACTTGAATTAACATTGTTTCATAACTTTTTGTTTTCCCTTGTTATACTTTTTACTTTCCTGCTTTGTTAAGAATTACTTTATTCTGTTTTATCGTGTGTCCACCTAACGAAGCTTGAAAGACTCCAGGTAACTTGGAGGTACAGTGGAGGAGAAAGAGCACTGCATTGGAGATGAGAGGATCTAAGGTCAAATCTTGCCTCTTCTTCTTTTTTGCCTGAGTGACCTTGGCCAAATCATTTGACCTCTGTGTATGACTCAGTTTCTTCTGTAAAATGAGGGTTCTGGACTAGAACTCGTAAGGTCTCTTCTATTCTAAGACCGCTGGTCTTCATTTGAGATCTCTGAGGCCCAGGTGGTTTTACCCACGACCACTGAAGATAGCCTGTCTCAGACCTTCGCTTTTTTTATCTTTTATTTTTTTTGGGCTAGGCAGTGGGGTTAAGTGATTTGCCCAGGGTCACACAGCTAGGAAGTGTCAAGAGTCTGAGGCAGGATTTGAACTCAGGCCCTCCAGACTCCAGGGCCGGTGCTCTATCCACTGCGCCACCTAGCTGCCCCGAGACCTTTGCTTTCTCAGCGTTGTCTTCCGCCCTTCACAAGCGAAGCTGGGCACGGCAGTGAGGGCTCATTCACCAGCACTGGAGGAGATGCTCCATGTGTCCCTTAGTGGCATTATCTTAGACAAGCCGCAGGAATTTCATCTCTAGCGTCTGGTTGTGAGCACGACAGGCCGCTTGATAGTTCTTTCTTCGGTTTCAGGTAACTCACTTAGGCTGTAAGTGCTCAATTTCTAACTGTCTGAATTATTTTCGGTGACTGCGGTGAGATACTATAACCTTTTTTGCCTTCGTGGTGCTGTACTTCCACTCACAGATAGATGTCATCACCGTGATTTTCTTTTCGGTGGTCTCTCTCTTTTCAGACGGGCGCCCTAGTTCATAGCTATAGGGGAACAGGTGGAATCTTTGAGGTTTGCTGGAATGCAGCGGGAGACAAGGTTGGAGCCAGTGCGTCAGATGGTTCAGTAAGTATAAGAGCACGTTTGCAGTGGGGCGTGGGGCGGTCTTGTGGAGGGGTTGAAAGTCGCTGCTTTTCAAATGTGTCTTTGGCCTTTTCCTCCAGGCGGCGTCTTCACGGCCAGTGCGCCACCACGCTGCTAGTGAGCTGCTGGTTGGTGCTTAGCCGCTCTTTATGGCCAAGAAACGGCCTGTTAGTCTGAGCTAAAGCTTCACTGGTTAGAGGGTCTCTTCATGTGAAAGAACAGACAGTGAGCTGAACGTTTAACGTATAGCGGTCCTGCCAGTAAAATGCATTTATGTACTCCCGCCTTTTAAAAAATGGTGGCGGGCTGGAGGGGTGGGCGGCTGCCTTCGGCTGGGCGCTTAGCACTGGTGCCCTGGGTGTCCCATAGGCCGAATGGAAATCCCCTGAGGCTCTTGGGCGGGCACACAGCGCCCCCTCTGGTCCTCCAGGACGAGCAGCTCGGGCCCCACTCCTGAATCCGGTTTCCCTTGTCCGTGTTCGGCAGGACCGAGGTCCCTAGCCTTCTCCGTTGACCACCTGTACCCTTTTGCCTCCTCTCAGGCGTTAGGCTCCTCCCAGCGCCGGCCAGTACCTGTGGCCAGGATTGGTTTAGAACTCCCCTGCGGTTTTGGAAGCGTCCCACTCAAAGAAGTCACGGGGACGTAAAGTTCTCTAGAGTACCCAGTTCAGTTTAACTTGTAAAAAACTTTGTTTGTTACAGGTTTGTGTACTAGACCTACGGAAATAGTGCTACTAGTTGGAAGCCATGGACCGACTATGAATGTGTACATAGCCAAAATGACTGTCCCTGACCCACGTACTGCTCTAGTCCCACTGGAACCATGGCCAGTCCACTGCAGCCAAACCGAAAAGAAATCTCCACTTACACTGTATAGAAACAAAGCAAAATTACACCCTGAAGAGGATGACAGAGTTTTGTCCCAGCTTGTGAATCCTGTTCACCAAGTGCTGGCATCGTATCTGCTGTGCCCCCAAATAGCATTTAGAGGCTTGGGATATGAGAAGCCGAAGAGGAAAGGACTGAGACTAAACAAAAGTAGACCTTAAGTGCACCCAGTCAGGAGACAGACGGCAGCCTTCCCTCTCCCTCCCCTCTCCCTTCCCCCCCTCCCCCTTCTAATCAGTATGATGGATCGTATGCTTTTTTTCCTTTAATTTCCCCCAATAGTTGAGCAGTTTATGTGTACAGAGAAAATGGACGTATGTAAACACGCAGCCATGGGGTGTTTCTTGCTTTTCAGACTTTTTTGTTTGTTTGTTTATTTGTTTGTTTTTCCAGATGCAGGAAGTAAGGGAGTAAATCTGTTTCTTGTTTTTATTTTTTCACCTTTTAGACATAAAAAAAATCTTTTAAAAAATCTTTTAATGCATTCTTCTGAAGAGGCCAAGTGATATTTGGTCCATTCTGTGGCTCTCAGAGCACATTTTCCATTGGTTGTGTGTTGGGGTGAGGGGTGATTTTAGAAAAAATATATCTCAAATGTGACATCGGTCATGTTAATCAAGAAAGGACATTATTTGTAAAGGGTATTCTGCTCTGGTTTTTCTGGTGGTGTGGCTGAAATGCAGAAGTTTCTTATTTGGGACATATTTCTGCCAAACTTAAGAATCGAAGGGCACAAAAAAATTTTTTTTTAAAAATTTACAAATACAAGAGCTGCATAAAAAAAAAATCTTGTTGCTTCAAGACCATAGCTAATTATGGTTTAGTTGTGCACTATTGTGAAAAGGAGCAAAGTAGCATCCTGGGGTTTTTTTTGTTTTGTTTTTAAGAGATAAAAATCTTTCTGGACAAGGGTTTATTGGCTTCTACTGTGAGTATCCATCATATGTGTAGGAGCTCTGATGTATAATGTAACCAAATTCCAGTATTAAAAAAACCTCTCATGTCAATTTTGTTTATATAAATCAAAATACCTTTGGCATATATTTGATAACACTGCCATTATGTGGCAAAATGTTTACTACCTTAGTTTCAAAAGAAATCTTTAGAACAGAAGACTTGCTTTAAGGTATGTTTAAATAGCAGTGATTCAGCTTATTAAAAAAATAATAATACTTGCACTAATGTCTCTGCTGCTCTGATTCTGCAGTTTATTATAACTTATGGCTATATTTTTTTTCAAGTATAAGTAGGTGTAAGCTGCTATTTTTTATTAATCACTACTATATTGTCCTTTAGTCTGTTTACGATATCAAGTATTTTTCTCAACAGATAGCAAACTTTTGTTATGCTCACGTGACTAGGGCATACCAAAATTTCTTTTACAAGTTCAGCACATCTTGTTTGTGTGTGCTGTTGAAAGGGGTCACTTCAAGTTTCGTGCCAGATTCCAAGGCTATAAATTTCAAAGAGTATAGTTGTTAAATTTATGTCACAGATATTTTAATTAAGGAACGGCTTCTATCACAAAGCTTTGCAATGTTAACCATTTTATAACACTATTTCAATCACTAATAATTTTGTGACTATTATTGCTTTAAAAAAGTTAATCTACTTTGTTCTTAGTTTAGGCATATATTGATTTAACCCAAATAATGCAGCTTTTTTGCCATTGATTTTCTGCTATTTTTACAAACTGATATGACTTGAAGCAAGTCTTCATTTTGCTAAGGTAGGATAGCATTGGCCTTTGGTAAAGAGAATACACTTAATTCCACATTCATTGTTCTGTGTACCCCGATTATTAGTGGGGAATCTATTCTGAATCGCAGAATTTTTTTTTAAAATTCATATCCAGAAAGGCAGTCATTCATGATGGTTCTGTGCCAGCTCTTTTTAGGGTTTTGGAACATGCGACAGATGTCTAGAACAATTATCTTGTGAGTTATGTAGGAAACCTCATAGACTGAGTATCTGGCACTTGGACATCTTGCTTTTATTGGTGGAGGTCTGTGTCTATGGCTGACCTCTGTTGTTGTTTAAAAAAAAGTAAAAAATAAAAAAAAATCTGTGCAATAATTTTTAAATGTGGTCCCAGGAATAGACACAAATGTTTTGAATATGTTTAAGCTGCGTTTTCCTTTAGCGATGCATTTGTCAATTGCACTGAATTTAAATCTGAAAGTCAGAGGTGATTATTGATAGTACTTTTGTATTTTGATATGGACAATTTATCATTTGCATACAGTTATTGACTGGTTTTTTCAGCCGATTATAAAAAGATAGTCAAGGAATTCTGCAATATGGCTGCCAGAATAGACAGCTGCATTTTTATGCTATTGTTATTTTTCCTTTTTTGATCTTTGGCTATTTTCCTTACAAAAAAAATCCATAATAGGAACCCTACACAGTTATAAATACAGAGCTTTATTACCCTGAAGTCTTGTCTTACTGAGAGGTATCCATGTAGTAGGCCTGGGCTCTTAATGAACATTGGATTATTTATTTATTTTTTGCTGCTGTTCTCAATATCATCATTGCCTGCTGATGTGCCACGATGCTGCTCCTAAGCTGTTTAAGAAAAAAAAAGGTCTAGAGCATAAATATACTGGCCAGAGACGAAGTTTCACAGCCTTGTGAAGTACTGTATTTATGGAGTTCCTGGTTTGTTTGTTTGTCTCCCCCCTCCCCACCCCCCAACATTTTCCCCAAGGGCTGACAATTGAAATGTTAAAATGTTAGTAGTTCTTCTAGAGAGATACGATCATACTATGATCTGAGTAGGATTTACACTCTGATCGTTTTAGTATAAGCTATGCTGATGAATTTGTTATCATGGGGAAGAAGGAGCTGAAAACTTGGGGCACTAATTTGTTGAAGGACAAAGTCAAGTAAGAGGAGCCGTCCTGTTTCCCATTCATTCCTACCGCTTACACAGGAATCTCATTGTTCATATCCATGTAGGGAAGGAAGCCACGTTTTCATGTGTTTGTCCCCTTTTCTATTAATGTGGATCAGGTCCCATGCTTGACTTTCTGATGTATTTTAGGCCATGATACATTTTATGTAGGTCTTAGGTTATTATTGATAATCCAGTTGTAATGAGCAGTTCTCTAGTGTTAGATGTGATTTAGGATGAAACATCTTTTACAAATACTAAAAGTGCCTCCCTTTGTGGTTTAACAACTAATCATGGTGCAAAATGCAGGAATCACCGCATGGAAGAAGTACAGGAAGGTTTCTTGCTTTTTGACATGTATAGATGTCAAGAGAAAGGCCAAAGATTTGTGCTGATTTCACTTCACTTTTAAAGCACTCCTTTTTTCCTTTCCCTGCTTTATGTCAAAATAGATTATTTAATGAGAGATGACTATTTTTGAGGAGCTAGCTTTGTTTAGGTAGAATGGTTTGGTTGAGGGTATAATTATAGTTGTGGCATAGACAGGCCTGGTGGGCCATATGTGTCCAGGGCTCTGCAGAGGGATTCTCTGTGAATTGCATGGAGTTGATGTGGGCAGAGGGGAATGGGGGGTTTCACTAGATGAGCAGAAACGACATCTCAAATATTGCTCGGTGCCATTTACTCAATTAGGAGCAGTGCTCTTTTTCCTCAGCTCAGGGCATGTCATGTTTCTCTGCGTATCCTGTGTTCTGCTCCAGTGTGTTGCAGACAGTATTTAGGTGACGGATAATCACATACTACTAGTAGGTCACATCTGAAAGTTCCCAGGAAACCCTCTTTTTGGTGGACCAACATTGTGGCATGGCAGCAAATGCCCATATTTAGGGAACAGCAGCAAATCAACAAGAGACCCTGAAAGTTTTCTCTGGGGGTGGAAGGGGGGGGAGGGACGTTAGGAATGACCTTCTCTTCCAGTGATAGCTCTGAAGTATCACAATTCAGTATCAGGAGTTTCTTTCTTAAACATAAATCTGGTTAAAGGTAGAGAAGAGAATTTTTTAAGTGAGGAGAAGTTCAAGTTATGTTGGGGTTTTTTTTTGTTTTTTCCATACACTGATTTAGAGATAGAACATCTTAGATCAGTAGTCTGAGGAGGTATCGCATTCTGTTTCCGCCTCTAAGTTTACAGTGTTGATGCAGGGTGACGACTTAGGGCATGCCTTTTTTCCTAGTAAGCTATTTCATAATGTTTTTTGGAATTTGTGGGTAAGTTCAGGAAAACATTCTGCATGTTGTATCTAGTCCAGTGTACTACTTATCCATTTCTTTCTTTTCTTAAGGCTGCATTCTGTGGCTCTATAATCCTTGAATACAGAAGTAATTTTTTTTTTCCTCTCCTGACTTTGACATTGTAGTTGTAATGGTTTAATTTTGATTTTACAAATCCTTTGGGTCTAATTCTGTGAGCCTACCTATAGCACTGGATTCGAACGTCTGCATCATTTCTTTAGTCATCCAGTTAACTTACAACTGTTGTCAAAGTGTAAACCAGCCCATGACAGTTTTTTGTACTTGTTAAAGGACTTTTATTCAGTTTTCATGATTATTGTCTAAGGAAGACTGATAGAGATGTTCTAGGCTGACCTGGCCCATGTGAATTACACTTAGGATGTATTTGGGTTCTACATCACAATGGCTTACCCCCATGCCCCCATCCCTCGGAGGCACATGTCCCTGTTGCAGTTTCCATTTGCATTGTATTGCTCTGACAACTGTAATTTGAATCAGATCTGAAAGAGGTCCAGAATAAAATATATTTTGATATTATGTTGGCTGTGTATATATATATACATATATATATAAAAATATAAATATAAATATAAATTTTTTGATACATATGTAGTTTGTATAGAATATTTACTGGTCAAGAGAGAGGGGTGTTATAATTTTTTCTTGTTTACAATTTCTTGTTTACATTTGACTTGATTTTTATTCCTTTAATGTTCTATTGTAGAATAAACTTATTTTGCTCTAAGTTAGCTATCATAACAGAGCATGTCGATTGTCTCACATGTACCCATGTAAAATAGATAAGAACTTCCACTAAGAAATTAGGAGCTGTCATGGCGTTTTTTCAAGATGCATGAGCACAATTTCAAAACAATCCAACCCCTTAGATCAAATTGCAAATCGACACTTTTTCATTTCCTACAATACAATTAGTATTTTTGAACCACTGAGGATTAAGAGAAAGGATCTTAAATTAATCTGGATCTCACTCTCTTTTGTATTATAAAACTAAAGAGAGCATCTAAGTCATTTAAAGAATAGTTAGTTGCTGTAAATTATTTTCAGTGTTGCATTAATGAGCTCTTTGCTGAAGGGTCCTTGGGCTCAGTCAATCTTCCCAAGCACTACCTTATGAAAAGGACCTTTCTTGTGCTCACGATGTTGTGCTGTCCCTTACGCCTTCTTTGGCCTAACTCCTTGTGAAAGCTTAAAATCAATGCCCTTTTTGGGTGCCATCCTCAGCTGGCCAGGTGTACTGTGCTCTTTAAAACAGACTTAACTGATGATTTAACACTGTGTCTGAAGATGTCATCCATCAGGCATTAGTTTCTGATTTTTCATTGAAGTTAAAACTCTCCCATGGAGGTATTTCCATATACCATTGATCCTTGTGTGCATGTGAATGTTTACGTAATCATCCTTTCCCTTAAAACTTTTCAGTTGAATTCAGTACTCTAATGAACGCATAACTGTTTACAACTATTACTTGACCATAACTTTAGCCTATGTTAGGAAAACTACAGTTATTTTTTTGCAGGCAGCCTTTCTCGATCAGTGGCTTACCTTTGATTGCATGACAGACTGTAGCCAATCCATTACATATTAAGCCTTTGAAATGGAACTGAGGATCACTAGTGGAGAAGTCCACATATATACATGGTACAACTAATTGCTTCCAATCATAAGCAAAGATAGGGATATTTTTGGTTTCCTCACTATTATAAATTATAGTTGTTATATGTCAAATTAGGTTTTTACTGTTTTCCCAATATATTTGTGTGCAAATAAGTTTTATGGTGCCTCTCACTACAGTATCTAGGCTTATTATTAGTATTGCCAAGTCATCAATGAAATGTTAACCCTCTACTTGTGTTTCTGTGCTTCTTATCAAATGTCATATCTCCACGCTGATTTGTTTTAGCTTGTAATATTTTGTATTAAAATTTTTATAGGAATTCCTTGAAATTTCTTTATCTTTTAAAATGCATTCAACAAAGTATTTGGTAGCATGTCGAAAATGGAAGTCCTGGGGTTTTTTGGCCACTGGCAGAATTGAGTAGGCAGGCGATAATATCCATATGAGAAGGAAGGAAGAAATCAAGAGAAATACAACGATGCCTTCACTTAGTGGAGCCTATGCTCAGGATAACCTCATCTCACCAGAACGGTTTTCTACCCCTGGAAGCCACAAAACCCACATCTTCCACCAAATGCATGCTTTTGGCTTCTTAGGCCTTCGCTCACCTGCTTGACTTTACCTAATGGCAAGATTTAATAAGCTTGGTTAGTTCATTTCCTAGTCCACAGTGCATTTAAAAAAAAAAATAGCAAAACAAATTGCAGAATGCAGAGGAACTGCCAGAGAGATAGGCCTTCTGGCAACTTGAGACCAGGGCTCAACAGGCACAGAATTGGATTACAACCCAGGAAGAAATGGTAGTGATGAAACCACGCAGTCATCAGGAAAGGCTTAAATCCCATCCTATATGTAACAACACATGTTGAGATTTGTCATCTGTACACAAACATGCATATGTAAGTTGGTACTTGAAGGAACAAGTGTTCTTTGCTAGATGAATCAAGTGTTGCCGTGTTTGTCAGAAGAGGTCCTTGAGGACACAGCCTGTCTTGCACCTGACATGGTATCTGGCAGATATTAAGTAGGTACTTAATAAATGGAATGGTCAGGAGGATATTGTAGTTTATCGGTAAAATGGAGTTGTACTAGCAGGAGGAGGAGGCCTTAACCAAGAGTCTGTGAACTCTTTTTTTAGGTTTTGATAACTGCATTTCAATGTAACTAGTTTCTTTTATAATCCTATGTATTTAATTTTATGCGTTGAAAAACCTTATTCTGAAAAGGGGTCCATAGACATCACCAGATTGCCAAAGGGGGTCCATAATGCAAAAGCAAAAATATAAGAAGCCTGAAGTAGAAAGTCGCTTTAGGGCATCTCCAGATCCTAAATTAGATTCCTGATCTATAGGGATGACAGCCAGTAACAGATAAGCTTCAAACATCCTAAGTAAAGGAAGGAGTGGTCCTATTATTTTTCTTCCTAGTTCTGTGGAAACTTCTTGGGTACCATTTGCGTGAAGGATTTACATGGGTTTTATTTAGATTATGTGGCATGTACACACTCATTTAGGAACTTTCTTATAGTTAGACTTAGAATAGCTACGCAGAAAGGTATTATGCCAAAGTGTTGAAGAAAATTTATTCAGAATCACTTTAATAAAGCACTGTCACTGTGGATGCCAGTTCAGCAAGTACCTACTATCCAGTCCTGCAAAATACTTTGAGACTGTCCTTACCCCCAAGGCTGTCTAATAAGGTGAGAAAAATATCTACGCAAAGTGCTCAGAGAAATTTTGGGGAGCATTCGCTTTTGAGCTGCTGGGAATTGGGGCATAGCCAGCAGTTGACCTGGGCCTCGGAGATGGGAAGTATTTGTTTCAAAAGGAGAGTAGGGCAGAGAGAGTCTCGGGCTTGAGAAAAGGAAAAGAGATAAGAATGGGGCAGTGGACAGCGATTAGCTCAGCTTGACCAAGAATGTAGAGTTTGTGATCTAGGACTCTTGCTTAACCTGGTATTTGGGGCAAAGGGTTTTTTACAGGATTGTTCTCTTAAGTGATTATTCTTTGTGCCCCTCTTGAGCTGTTACAGCTTTTAGAACCCAAGCCTCTGTCTTTGCTATTCTTGGATGTTATCTGAGATTGGAAAATGTCATGTTTTAAGCTCCACTAGCGTCCATTCAATTCTGCTATCTGTTATTGGGGCAGGGAGTGAGGGGAGGGTCTTTGCGTCGTCCTCCGTTCTTACCAACATCAGCCACCCAACCGCTTCACTTTGGCATACCCTTTGTGGCCGGCAGCTTAGTGTCAGGCTAAACTTGGGAGTCAGGAACACCTAAGTTCAAAATCAGCCCCTGACACTGGTGTGGCCTGGCCAAGACATTGAACCTTCTTGAAACTCCCGCAGCTTACTAAGCCACAAAGTTATAGGCAGGTTGAGATCTACGAGTTGAAGGGAAGACACATAAAATCACAGGTCTTTGATGGGGAATTCTCTTCCTTAAGAATGCAAATGTCTACCGCCTTGATGGAGATCAAAATGAAACAATTTTGTCTCTGTGATGCGAGTCTTTGGCTTACATTCTGGAGGCTAACTGCCCTGGCAGACTTGGAGCTAGACTCATGTCTCACTTGCCCTTAAGGAGTCAACCAGAGAAAGTCAACAGGTGCTTCAGTGTTAAACCTTGGCCTGTTTTCTCTTGTTATCTTGATCTTGACCTTCCACAAAGAGGCAGTGATTTTTGCCAGTGACTTCAAGGAAGAGCTTATGCCGTTCAAATGCTTTCAACCTTCTATGGGCACTGGGGCAGGTACTTACAACACAACCGATTTAAGTTGTTTTCTCAAGGGACCCAGGATGCATTTGGACAAATGAGGAAACCAAGGATGTGCATTAGATGGCTTTCACTGCCTCCACAATTCATTCGTTCATGCATACAAGCTCTGACTCAAACAGAATCATATAGCTACAAGAAATCTAGACCGTCATCCTGTCTTGAAGCCATTTTTCAAATGAAGGGCGTGAACAAGATCACATTGAGTAAATGGCAGAGTGGGGATTTGACCTGAAGTCTCCTGGTTCCATTCAGTACTCTTTTCACTGGACCACACTTTTGGCCCACTTCTCAGATGGCCATGCCATTCTTTCCCCAGCGGGATTCGGAAGGCATTTCAAAGACATCTCAGTTAACCGATAGGATATGAAATACCTTCTACAAACCCCTAAAAAAGGGATGGGGGCAAGGCTGAGGATTATGTTTTGTCCAGCATTTCCTTGAAGACCTCTAGTAAGGTGGGAATTCACTGCCTCTCACGGCAACCCATCCCATTTGGGGATAACTGAAAGAATTTCCTGATGAGGCAAAATCTGCCTTTGCAGCTTCCATCTTTGATTTTAGTTGAGTCCTCCATGGTCGAGCAGGACACATCTGTTCTCTCTTCCACGTGACATCTCTTCCATTACTCAAGTGATTGTGACCTCCTCCTCTGCCTCTGAGTCGTCTATCCTCTGGATGAAACAGCCTGAGTTTCTTTACCTTAAAAACAGCAAGGACTCGAAACTCCTCACTGCCCTGTGCCTCGTCTCTGCATCCTCTCCTGCTAACCAACTCTTTCCTGACATGAAGTGTTCCAAACAGATTCTTTAGAAATGCCCTGACCTTATATATATCATGGGGTTATCACCCTTTTCATCCTGGACACCATGCCCCCAGATGTAGCCTACAATTTTTTCTATTAGCTTTTTTTAGCTGCCTCATCACACCTTAAATTCATTGGGCTTGGTGTTCATCTTTTTTTTTTTTTTCCTCCTGACAAACCCTTAACTTACTACCACTCACCTGGACCTTCTACTTTAGAAGTTAATTCTTCGAACTCAGGCATAGGAATTGAGATTTATACCTAAATCTCATTTGATTCAAATGTCTGTCCTAGCCTATTGAGGTCTTTGTGGATCATGAATT